TTGAGAGGCTTTTGCTATAGGGCATGTGCGCTTGCTAGAAAGACAGAGAGAGAGAGACAGAAAGTGAGAGATCACCCCCTGAGGGGATGGCCACACCTCAATCCCTTCTCCTCCATTCTCCTCTTGGGATCTTGGGCATGCACACACATGCTCCCAGCATGAGTTTAAGCCACCGGGTCCAGGACTCAAACCACGGACAGCTACATGGGAGTCCAGCGACATAGCTACTATACCAACTGCTGGTCTCAAGCATATTAACCATCTAAGAGTAGAGATAGCTTCCCAAAGTGTGTGAAGGAAAATGACCAGAAAAAGAAGGAAGACAAGGAGAAAGGTACCTGGGCTCAACTGAAGTGACAGCCTGCTCCACCCAGAGAAGCACACCTTGTGAGAACCAATGGAAAGGAGCCTGAACTTCTAGAACCTATTCCCTATGAATTCATGGCATGATGGGTGTTAAAAATAAACTAATCTATGGTCTAAAAAAAAAAAAGTAATTTTGTGCTCTCTACCTTGTGCTGAATGCCAAACCTCAAGACTAAATACTCATAGCAGGACCAGATTCTAACACTAGCAGCGGCTAATGGTAACTGGATTCTTCTAGACAGGAAGGAAGTACTCGGCTTTAATTCTTCCTTTTAAGATTAATCCCTAGGTCTCTTAAAGGGGCTTCCATGTCTGGCACATTAGGGACAGATAAGGAAAGAGAGAGAAAGACAAATTTTCCTAGTTTTGTTTTGTTTTCCCTAAAATAAAACCAGAATTAACCCTGTTATAAATTGCTTCCTATAGCTTTAGCTCAGAAAGCTGGCATATTGCTTGAGTCCTTTAATAGGGCCATTACCAATCTAAAGCCCAACTCAGGTCTCTTTTTTAGATCAATTCCTACTAAGACAAGCAAAAAGCCCAGGCCAATACCTGGACTTCTAGACCTCCCTAGACATATACTAGCTGACACTGTAAAAAGCGAGGATGGTTACCTCACTATTTAGCATCAAGAAACGTCATAGTCACAATTCGGTCTAAGTTATACTCTGTTCTGGACATAAAATCCAATACACTGTGAATTAAAATCTTCAGGAGAGGGACCAGCAGGTGGCATGATGAATACGTCATTGGACTCCCACATAGTTGACTGTGGTTCAAGTCCTAGACCCGGTGGCTTAAAACTCACGTGGGGCGTATGTGCATGTGTACCCAAAATCCCGAGAGGAGAACGGAAAAGGGATCACAGTGTGACCATGCCCCCTGGGGGGTGACTTCTCACTTTATATCTCTCTGTCTCTCTGGTGAGAGCACATACTCTAGAGCAAAAAAATCTCTCTAAAGGAAAAAATAAACTACTGGAAAAAAAATGCTTAAGAGATTTTTTGAAACATTCGCCTACTACACTGCATTCAGAAGTGAATGAAAATCTGCTAAAATAGAGACCAGCAGGTGGTGTGCTGCTTAGGGCCCTAGACTCCCATAGGGCTGACCATGGTTTGAGTTCCAGACCTGGTAGCTTAAAATTCACAATGGGCACATGTGTGTGCGTGCCCAAAATCCTGAGAAGGGAATGGAGAAGGACTGCGGCGTGGCCATCCCTCCTGGGGGATGATTTTTCACTTTCCCTCTTACTGTCTCTCTCCGATGAGCATGTCCTATGGCAAAAAAACTTTAAAAAAGAAAGAAAAAAAATTGCTAAAATATGTATACAGATTAGTTGCTAAACTTGTCAAAGAAAGTACAGATTTTTTTTTCTTCACAGCTCTCCCCATAGCTTGTCTGCTTAATTAGCTGTCGAACTCCTCATTGCATCTTTTGCTACTGATGTGCCCCATTATTTCTGCTATCACTACATCTCCTCTGCTCCCATCCACCACGTGTATGCCGAATGCCTAGTCCAAGGCAGGTCGAATCCATTCTCAGAGAGTTTGCTAGGAGATATTACATGGAAATAACTAACAAAATGTCGAGTGTGACTTCATGGTTTCTACACAAAGAATACAGGGTAGAATATGTTATCTTCTATAGGTGAAATATAACAAAAGATTGCTAAAGCAGTCCTTTGAATTCGTGTCTCCTAGGTTTACCCTTTCCTCTACATGCCTAGAGGAGTTATTATTTCGTAAGCAAATTATCATAAATACTTTACTTCCCACTTACCTTGAAGGAATCGCTTTCCTATGCAGAAAGGTGTATGTTCTCTTGCCAGGTTGCATCATAGCTCATTTCATATAAGACTACTCTGTTTAAAGATCTGTAACTCCCCGCTCAGCTTTCAAGGCCTTCTACATGCTGCTACCAACCTGTTTAATTCCATCTCTCCCACAACTTCTAAGTCCTCACTATTCTAGCCAGAGATAAAGAAGCTCCCTCAATGCTACTCTAATTTGCCCTGATATTCCTTTATACTTTTTGTAATATGTTGGAATGTATGCATTTTCAATAGATGCCCTTTGGTTCTGGCAACTCTGAGAGGTGAAGGTAGATGGGGGCAGAAAAGAGACAAGGGTCTCTTTTTGCAGATCTTGACATGGGAGGTAGTTTGAGCTGAAACTCTGAATCATTTTCTCTTGCAGTAGGCTCTGGGAAAGTCCCACTTGGTAGAGTTTCTGGCCAGGAGCCACAGCCACACCACCAACTTCAGGCTTGTCTTCAGGGCACATACCACTGTACTGCATTTGCCTAGTGTGGGAACAGCTAACTAGTAGCGGCCAAATGAGGCTTGCTTTGGAGCAGAACTGCTTGTATACCCAGATACCAAAAGCTACAAACCTATCTAATAATAGCGAGGATGCACTATTAATTTTGGTTTTATTATTTGGGGGTGGTGGTGGAGGAGATGTGATAAATGGTATTATGGTATTGAGGTCCTTTTTTTTTTTTTTTTAAAAGCTTTTTGCCAGAGGGCATGGCATGTGTGCTCGCCAGAGAGAGAGGCAGTGAGAGGGAAAGTTAGAAATCATCCCCTGGGGGCACTGGCTACATTATAATTCCTTCTCCTCCATTCTCTTCTTGGGATTTTGTGTAGGTACATTTGCCCTGCATGATCTCTGGGGCCAGTAGGTGGTGTGGTGGATAAGGCACTGGACTCCCACAGGGCTGACAATGGTTCAGGTCCTGAACCCAGAGGCTTTCTTTCTCACCCCCGCTCCCCTCTGGTGAGTGCATGTGTCCTTCACAAAATAAAATTAAAAATGATTTGCTTTAAAATCATCTGAGGTGACAGTGGAGAAATGAGTGATGGTTGGGGTGAGCAAGTGGCATGGTGGTTGAGGTGCTGAGCTCCCACACGGCCATTGGTGGTTTGAGTCCCAGATCTGGCAGCTTACTTTCTCATTTTCCCTTTCTTTCTCTCTCTGGCTAAATTAAAAAATAAATAATCACAACAAATAAATAAATGAATAATTTTTTTTTTTTTGAGAGGTTTTTGCTATAGGGCATGTGCACTCATCAGAGAGACAGAGAGACAGAAAGTGAGAAATCACCCCTCAGGGGGAATGGCCACACTGCAATCCCTTCTCCTCCATTTTCCTCTTGGGATCTTGGGCATGCATGCCCACGTGCCTGGCGTTGAGTTCAAGCCTCCGGGTCTGGGACTCTAACTGCAGTCGACTACGTGGGAGTCCAGCGACATAGCCATTATTCTAACTGCTGGTCCCAATGAGTAATTCTTAAAAAAAAGAAAAATGAGTGATGGCATATATAAACAAGATTTGCCATGAGTTGATAATTATTGTCTGTGATGAGTACATAGAAATTCATTATATTACCTTCTCTAGTTTTGCATTTGTGTGAAAATTTGCATAGCACATCATTTAAAAAGTCATGATCTCGGGACCAGCAGTGAGTGAGAAAGTGAGAAATCACCACCCGGGGGAAAAGCCATGCTGCAATCCCTTCTCGTCCATTCTCCTCTCAGGATTTTGGGTATGTACATGCACGTGCCTGGCATGAGTTTCAAGCCACCGAATCTGAGACTTGAACTATGGTCAACTATGTGGGAGTCTAGCATCTTAACTGTTACACCATCTGCTGCCCCCCTCCCTTTTTAAAAAATTTGCTATAGGGTGTGTGTGCTTCAGAGAGATGGAGGGGGTGGGAAGTGAGAAAGCACCCTCCATGGGGGAAGGTCATGCTATAATCCCTACTCCCCTATTCTTCTCGGAATTTTGGGCATGCACTCACACATACCTGGCATGTTTTTCAAGCCACTAGATCTGGGACTCAAACCATGAGATTGACTGTGTGAAATCCAGACACTTTAAGCACCACACCACCTACTGGCTGGCCCATGATTTTCGTTTTTAATTCTTCTGAGGTTAAGTCTCTGGCCCTTTGTTAAGAGGGCCCATTTATGGGCTGGCAGATGGTGTAGTGGTTATGTCGTTGGACTCCTGTATGGTCAACTGTGGTTCGAGTCCCGGACCCAGAGGCTTGAAACTTATGCCGGGTACATGTGCTTGTGTGCCCAAGATCCCAGGAGGAGAATGGAAGAGAAAAGACTGGTGTGTGGCCATCCCCCTGGCGGGTGATTTCTCACTTTCCCTCTCACTATCTCTGTCTCTCTTTTTCTCTGGCGAGTGCATGCACTGAGCAAAAACTTCTTTTTAAAAAAAGGGGGGGCCCACTTAATGAATAGTTGCCAGGTGAAGGACACGTACTTGAAGACAAATGGCATAGGAACTGGGGAGTTCACCTGTGGAGAAGAAGGGAGGAGGAGCCTGGATTGTGCAGAAGGTGGCATCACGGGTTACACACAAGTTTTATAAAAATATTTTGCTTATTTGTTACAACACAGGCTCCAAAAATAGAAACAGAGGACTCTGTGGCACAGGCAAAATAACATTATGTGGGCAATAGGATTTCAATTCTAAAACAAAGGTGAGAAACCATGGAGCTATTTATATAAATGAATTATCTAGCATTAGGAAGGTTTAAAACTATCTTTTAAGTAAGATAGAAGGTAGCTTGTTAAAAACACTGTAGATTGATGTCACCTCTTTCTTTCTTACCCATTTTTCACTAGGAAATCCACAACGTATTTTTTTAAGCAGTAGAGGTGGGCATCCACAAGGCCTGTATGGAAGCGTATTCTAGGGTGCCTGCAAAAAAAAAAAAAAAAAAAAAGAAGAAGAAGAAAGAAGGGCTCACAATCGGGTAGCATGGCTTCATTCTATTATCAGGTAACAGGTAGGTATTAGGACGTTCTTAAGGGTCAGAGTCATGCTACTCTGGGGAGAGAGAATGGGGAACACTAGCCCTGATCCTATCCCATAAAAGATCTCTCTAGAAACTCTACTTCACACTCTATGAGGCTTTTAGGATTCCAAAGAAACTTAATGATAAATCAAATCATCGACAACTGTCCATCTTCTATTCTGTCACAAACTTCTACCTACAATTATGGTAACTAACATCTTTCTGCTTTTATCCTAACTGTGCCACTTTCTGTAGGCCACACTCTCGCCATTCTTTCATTTACCTCCAGGATTTTACATGTACTGCTCTATCTTTGTAGCAGATAAAGTAAAATGCTATAAATATTCCTAACTCTTTACTCTTATTTATCCATTAGGTCTCACTTCAGATATACTTCCTCTAGAAAAACCTTCACTGACACCCAACAACACCCAGTGCCTCCTTCTATCAGTTAACTTATCATACAATATCTATTTACTTATCTTCCTTTCATTAGACTGACATTCAGCAGAAAGCAGAGATTTAACTTCACAGACTTAGCATTAACACCATTAACATTGTGCCTTAGACTATAAATTAAATAGTTGTTACAGGTCAGCAGGTGGCGTAGTGGTTAAGGCACTTGAGTCCCATTTGGCAGACCACAGTTTGAGTCCTGGGCCTGGCAGCTTGCTTTCTCATTTTCCCTTTCTTTCTGTCTCTGTTAAACTAAAAAATAATAATAACAAATAGTTCTGGGACTCGAACCATGATCAGACATGTGGGAGTGTCCAGCACCTTAACCACCATATTACCTGCAGGTCCCCAAATCTCCTTCTTAAAAAAAAAAGGGGGGGGGGACCAGCAGATGGCATAATGGTTATATATTGCTAGACTCCCACATAGTCAACCATGATTGAAGTCCTGGACTTAGCGGCTTAAAAACTCACGCTGGGCGCATGTGCGTGCATGCCCCAAATCCCAAGAGGACACTTAATGAGAAGGGACTGTGGTATGGCCATTCCCCCCCAGGGGGCAGTTTCTCACTTTCTGTCTCTCTGGAAAGCATACACATGCTATGCAAAAAAACTCTTAAAAAAAAAAAAAAAAGATGAAAAGCTCTCAAATCTGCACATAAAATTCTATTCCAGGGGCCAAAAAAAGTGCAGCTGCAAAACACAATTCTCTGTGAGGCTGATCCACGTGAGAAGGTTCTAGATTCTTGGCAGGAGACCTCACTAAGTAAGCCGAGTGCCTGTGTGCCTGTGATCCAGGGCTGGCTGGGGGTGGCTGGGGGTAGACAGCGGCATGGGGACCCTGTTAGGAGAACCATCTCTCTCTCCTGTTTGCTAATGGAGTAAAAAATTAAAATGAACTTAAAATAAATAAATAAAATGAAAATATACCCAACAACCAAAAAAATTCCATACCAGTGCACATTCAAATACAAGATGACGACAGGAGGCATGGTGGTTAAGGTGCTGGACTCCCATATGGCTGACTGTGGTTCAAGTTCCCCTGGACCTGGTGGCTTGCCTTTTCACTTTCCCACTTTCTCTCTAGTCAAATTAAAAATAAATAAATAATAATAAATTGAATTAAGTAAATAAATAATTAAAAAAAAAAAAAAAGACGACACATTCTGGCTCCTTTAATGTCCCCTCCAAGAAATTTATTGGCCTCCTCCTATAAGTATTACACCTCTGAGTTACAAAGATGAAATAGAACCATCATTTTTATGTGATTTTTAAAAATAATTATTTAATTTTATTTATTCATTCATTCATTTATTTTAATTTGACCAGAGAGAGAGACACACACACAGAGAATGGGAAAGTGAAAAAACAAGTCACCAGGTCCAGGACTGGAACCATGGTCAACCACATGGAAGTGTCCAGCGCCTTAACCACCACGCCACCTGCTGGTCCCCTTTATGTGATTTTTTAATCCAGAATAATGAATGGCTATAGATATTACAAGAATATAGGGGAGTATGTAGGGTATATATAAGGGAGCACAAATGAATAAGGACTATTCTGCCTAGGGCAGGAAGGGTCAGAAAATGAACTGAATTTTGAAAGAACAGGTAAGGGAGAGAGGGGTAGCCTTGGCTAAAGGAGTATCAGGATGGTGAAAATAAAGAACAGAAGCATTAAAAGGAATGCAGAAGTCAGAATTACAAGCAATTCTTCATAGCTATATGGTAGAGTGTTGAGTATGGGGTTATGTTAGGAGAATGGTGACATATAAGGCTGGAAAGGTAAACATGGGTAGATGACCATGGGCCTTAGGAATTTTGTGCTTTGTTCTATAAGCAGTGTATCTATAGGTTTAGGGCAAAGAGACAGTAGAGAACAAAGTTCAAAGTTCTGAGAGTATTAGAAAAACCATGGAGCAAAGTGTTGGGAAAACTAATGGAACAGGGTTCCAGGGCAACAGAGGTGGGGGAAGGGTAAAAGGCATAAGCAAAGGCACTAGTCCCAAACTTCCTCTTCTAAAGCCAGGAGAAGGAAACTGAAGTAGGTCTGAGTAGCAAAGTCAGGGGTAGGGGGCAATATGCTGGGAAGTCAGTAGCTGTTAGCCAAGATTTCTCTAAGGAGGAGGAGGCAGGGTCATTTTCTGATAGGAGAGTAGAGACAGTTGAGAATAGCTGCTGAAGGAATGGAAAGTTAGCCTAGGACGGGTGTAAGAATGTAGAATGGCTCTGAGGGGTGAGTTAAAATTGGAACCATGAATTATGATGGTATCAATTTATTTCACTGGATAATATTCTTCCTTACTTTAATAGAACCAATGTAGTACTAGACAAAGTAGATGTTAAAAGTAATCCAGAGGACCAGCAGACGGCATCATGATTATGTTGCTGGACTCCCACATGGCCAATTGTGGTTCAAGTCCTGGACCTCATGGCTTGAAATTCACACTAGCGCTTGTGTATGTGTGCCCAAAAGTCCAAGAGGAGAGTGGAGGAAAAGGGATTATGGCATGGCTCTTCCCCTAGGGGAGGTAATTTCTCACTTTTTATCTGTCTTTCTGGCAAATGCATGCACCTTATAGCAAAAATCTCTCTCTCTCTCTCAAAAAAAAAGTAATTCAGGCCTAGCCATTGTGGTCCAGCAGTAACACAAGTGCCCTGCAAGGCTGGAAGCCATATGGCCAACTACAGGTTCAGCTCCTTGGGTCAATCTGTAAATATGCCAGGCATGCATGTTGACACCCAGGATCCTGTCTTGAAGAGCTGAAGGGCTGAAAAAGGGGACTGTACAATAACAAGACTCTGTTGGGGTGTGTGTGTGTGTGGGGGGGGCTCTCTCTTTCGTGCTATTATTATTATTATTCTTTAAATAACAAACATGCTTTTATCTTCTCATTACTTTTTAAAATGTGAACATTCTGTATTCAGCCATAATTTTTACTTTCAGGTCACTTCCTCATTGGGCCTTAATTCCCTTTTAAATAATACACTCTTGTCCTGGAAGTCCGTTAGCTTTTCATCATTCTTTCTGTCTAGATAACAACCAAACACAAATCCCACAGGTACAAGTATGTGAACCCAGTGGTCACGCACCATCTGAAGTAAGTTTGTCACGATTGCTGTGGCTTGGACACCAACAATGACCCCGTGACCAAGGGCAGGGCAGAGCTCAGTCACTGGCGCCAGCGTAAGGGGCATCTCGGGCCCCCTCATGATATTATTATTATTATTTAAAGTAATCTGAAGTTGAGGGTTATAACAGCAAATACAGCAAAAGGAGTGAATACATAGAGGGAAGTGTCTGAGGGCACAGGATGTAAATAGATTGAATGAAGGAAATGAGTGGAAAAAGAGCAGAAAGGGACTAGAAAGATATAACAAAACCAAAATGAAGGACCAGAATTCTGAGTAAAGACAATGCATTAACCACAGGTATAACTATCCCCTACTCCTTCCGAAAACTCATTAAAGCAACAGTAAAAGTTTCTTTTCTTTTTCCTTTTACAATATAAACCCACAAGGACAAAGACCACAAGAAGAAACGACAACAAAAGCTTGGAAGCTGGAAAACAGAAAGACAGTGGTAACAGATTCCTACCCAAGGAAGCTCCTAAACCAACCCTAAGGAAAGCTACAAAGCAGCCCTGTCTGTCACTGGCAGCACAGATTTCACCCTACCCAGGCAGAAGATTGGAAGGTTTTTCTCTGAAGTCCACAGCTAGCCTCAAAGAAAAGGCTTAAAGATACTGACACGGGTATTTTCTTACAGCCATATGGCATTATAGGAGAGTTAAGAGTGTAAAAGAGCAAGAATAAAGGTCGCAGTGCCTACACCAGACAAGATATCTTGGGAAAGGTTCATGATCTTGACTTCCACAAGTCCTTCTGTACCAACCCCTGCATCTTCTGTCCCTACAACTGCTAATTAGAGAAGTACTTTAGGAATAAGGGCTGGTTATAAATGGGGGGTTTAATCTAGATAAATATTACTTTAAGATTCTCCACACCCTTGAGAAAATAAAAAATTTTAACCATTTCTCTTCATCTGTAGTCCCAGAAGTACAGATACGGTCATGATTTCTGAGGTCTTGACTAACACCTTTGTCCCCACAGATAAATGTCTAAACCTTCTGAGATGAACTTGTGAATATTTTATTCCATTTAAAAGATATCTTTCTCAAGCTTGTTTTAATATTTCCATTACCCTTCCAGTAAAAATCCTTGACAAGCATTCAAAAGAAATCAACATAACACTGGGGAAAAGCTACATGATTTTCTTATTAAGTATTTGGCACAAATATCTTTTACTTATGAATTATTAAAAACACATGTCTATCAGAAATAAAACAGGAATTTGGAGCTGGAGGCAGAGGTCTTTAAAAAACAACTAAGCCAATCTAGCTGGGGAAACTGAGGCTTAGAGAAACAAAGCGCTTTGCTCAAGGTCAT